GTGTATTTCATTTATAAGTGGTAAGGACTTTTGTGTTGGCTAGCTGCATTAATTCGATAATTTATCGAATGCTTCGTACCTTTCGGGCATGTTCTCAAGGATCCATCTAACTGGATCCGGTACAAAGTACGTATGGATTGATCTATCCTCGCATCAGACGTTATCCTTCCGAGAAACCTCGAGAAATTCACAAAAACACAGGATGTTTCCGCTAGTATTCCGTCCACAATAAATATTTCATGTGTTCGAACGGATACTGTCAATGGGCCGACATTCTCTCATCATACTTGCTGTCGGTGGACATTAGACTCCGCTGTGATTCACCTAGCTGCGATCGATAGCCTCAGTCTGTCGTCTGACTTGAGCCGGAACACTTCTAAGGTCGGGAAAACTGACGACCGGCATTCTTTGGGACACACCGGTTAATTTTTCAACCACGTTGCCGAATGAATGATTTTGATTCATTTTTAGCCGGACTGGTGTATCATTGGCGAAACATACATTAGATGAGTTTAGTTCCAGTTAACGAGTGAGTTGGTCTGTCAAGGGAAGAGTTTACACTGCGATGGTGCGATCCACACTGTTTTGTGAATCAGAGGCGTGGCACCTACGTGCAGAGGACAAATGAAAGATGGTCAGTGTTTGATCATCGGTGTCTCCGAAGCATTGGTCAGGTGTGGTGGGAACATCGGATTAGTAGTGCTGAAGTACGCCAGATGGTCTTAGAAAGGAGGAACTCTCCCGCGATAGATGAATTACTCACGCTCCATAGTTTGCGCTGGTTTGGTCATATAATCCGCTTGCCAGAAGACCATCTGTCTCACATAGCTCTGTTTCCCTAGCTCTTTGCTGAGTGGAAGTGACCGAGAGGTGGACAGTGTATGATCTGACGACGAAGATAGAAAACACTGACCAGTAAACTTAGTCAGTTGGGCAACTACCGCCCCCCTAGATGGGGACGCCGGGTGGTTAATGACGTTGGCAGAAATGGTCCAATCGTACAGTCAGTCTCGCTCGTGCATCAAAGTCATCACCTTCAATGCGTAGCTACCCAATCTCTGAACAAACTGAACATGCTTTCACCTCCAAGGCTTGGTTGTATGTTCCACTTTCCCGTTTTTCTAGGAATCGAAAGTGTAGCAGCCGGAACCAATGTTTCAGATTCGACGAATCTTGTTTCACCATTTTAGTATACAAGATGCGTATGATCAGAGGTAGATCCCACTCGAGAACATCATTAAACATATCACTGTTGTTTGTGAAGCCATCTATTGGGACACTTTCCTCCCAATACCATTTCTTATTTTTCTTCAGCTGTTCCCGTCGGCATGATTATCCACAGCGCATTGAGTCAGCGGTCGAAGAGGACGGCGTAGCGGAGGATGGAGATCATTCTTGCATCGTTTTGTGTATCCCACACATGTTCACGCATCCTCATTTACCGCCGCCCGATGCTACTTCTGGGGAGTTGGAAGATTCAGGTACTGTCATGCATCCTTCCATTCCACACCATGTTCTCTTTCTGTTTTATTCTGCCCTTATAGTTGCCTTGTGCGTGAAACTTAGAGGTGCACATGGTACTTTAAGACAGACTCTTTGTAGTATTGCAGCGAAGTTGGCCGACTTTCATGTAGATTACTCATTCCGGACGTTCTTCGTTGCCGCAAAAGCAGTGTGAAATGTGCAGAAACTCCCCACGATGTATTGGACTAGTTTGAGTGGAACTTCTCAACTGCATATCTCTACGGCAGTAAACTGTAGAGCCCTTTTTTGGTCCCCTTAATTTCATATCGAAGTTTTAACGAGCGAACAGTTTCCTGGGGTTAAGCTTAAGACAGTCCAGCAGACATTCCCTGTTTATGCCCAGGAGAAGTAACTCGGTATGTAGGGTATAAATAGAGGCTAGGGGTTCCCGACCACTGCCTCCTGAGGAATGAGTCCACTGGCGAAATGGGGAAACGTTGATCATGCCTACTTTACCTATCCCAGGGGTCTATAATGTTTCAGGCATCTGTTAAGCAGCCGCGGCGCTGGAATTTCCAAGCAAGACTCGACCTTCATGTCATGTCGGAGACGGCATTTTTGCCTCGGTTGGCAACTGGTGACGTGATTGGCTACCTTCAGAGATGATGCTGTTCCCACATGATCTACAGAACCCAGCACCTATTGGCGCTAAAGCGCTACTCTTCCCACTCCATGGCATCAACCTTTGGGGGAAAGCAAACATGTCTTTCACTGATTCCGCCAGGAATATGACAGCATTGTCAGGAAGGTAAATTTGGTCACAAATATGCCTTGTTAACGTAGATTGGGATCGCGTAACGCCAGGCCGCTCAGCCGGTCGTCGTAGGTGGTTGTTGTTTTGCGTTTCACACCTCGAAATTCCCGCCCGATGTCGCTGGTTTGTCTAGAAACAAAACGACGGTACACCATAGAACTGAAAAGAAGTTTCGAACTGATAGATTCTAGATTCCTGAGAACGGGCTTATGTGACTGATTACCAGATCTGTACAAACGAAGAGGTACCATCCCAGCAGTATGGGTTGTCCGGCCTAATTTCTCCGCGTTTCGTGCTGTCGGAAGATTCACTGAACCGGTACAGTACTTCAGACTGCTGTATAGAGTAGGATTGTGAAAGTAGTCGTCCCGATAACGTCATATTTACTCTCTTTTTTTGCTTTTTGGTGTACACACGGTCACTGTATTTTCATTGTTATTTCCAACTTGTCAAACTCCGATAAATAAACTTTCCACTAAGGTTCGCTTCTAATTTGTATGACAGAATTGCTCGAATCTAAGGTATCAGCCATTCCATGTTGAACTGTGAAATGACAGTCTGATTCGAGGGCCATTTTTGTTTCTTACGACCTGTATAGAACAATAAACAAACGTGCTTCCGGTTCATCCTTGGTTGTAATTTCACCACCTGGATGAGCTTTCCTGTGGGTGTTCGTGATATTGTTAATGCCTCAGTTCGGTCTGAACCTTCCACGGCTGCGTTCTCGAAAACGCAATGACCAAAGGCGCACAACGTATACAGCGCGTCGTAGACAAAGTGCATGAGGTGGCAACATTCTGGAAATTCCGACGCCTTCGGGATGCGGCATTGAAAACCGGTATTCGCCGGTTGCTGGATCATGATTGGCTGTTGGATTCACACCTTCGGCTAATCATAGTTCGCCTTGTTACTAGGCCGGCAAGTGGCTCAATCTTTTGTCCAATCACGTGCGAGATATGCCTGTTGGCCGCAACAGTGCCTGACGACGAGCGTTAAAGCGGCTTCGGTGCGGGATTCAGTGCAACAGTGTTCTGTGCATACTGTCTGTTATCCACCACAACAGGCGTATTATTAGCACAGGAAATATAGAAGTGTGTTTGTTTCTGTTGTTGGCTTTTCTTCGACGCGCGGTCGGTTTGGTGAAACAGGAATGTGGGTGAAGCGTCTAGCCTAAGAGACCGTGTATAGAAGAGTGTGGGCACAATGACAGTTGCCTGCTCACGAAAACAATTATCTCAATAAGGAACATACACAGCACAACACAATTCGTTATTGAGACAAATGAATCTTCACATCTTACTAAAGAAGCTGAAAGACTTTTTGCTTGTAACGGGCCCAGTGGGCTTATCTAGCTGTTAAACCAGTTCTCAATTCCGTGCTGTACTCAAATTGAGCATCGATTCTGACGGGATGCCTAACGTTCTGCGACTACCCCGAAGGACGGACCCTGCGACCGTGGAGACCATCTTCAAATAACTATGACAGCCCGATGCAGTTGGTCTCCTGTTCTCTCAAGTCGAAGGCGTTCAAGATTTCTTTGCTAGGAGTATTCTCAAATACAAGCTTCTCCGTTCATTACCATATTTACGGAGACCACTTTTTAAACATCCAAAGAATAAAACAACTGATGAGGTCTCGCTACTTTCCGGATCTGGTGAATTTATGGCGAAGTTTTGTGGATTTGATCACCACTATTCGGTGAGAACAAAGCTCACCACCAAGCAACTTTACTCTACCAACAGTACCGTATTGTCTATCAGCCTCATATGTTTACGCGCAACCCGATGAGAGCGTTTGTGAAGTCTTTTCGGCTCGAATATATGTATATAGCAGCAGTGAACCGATACTGATTCGTTCCTTATTCCTGAAAGTATTTGGTGCTTTTGCATTTCTTTGAAAATTCCGCCACCGTACCTTGGTGTAGCACCTCTTTGTGTGAGCTAATGGTCAAAATTTTGCTGTTTACACTCACCTCTAAACCCTTGAAAGCTGAATGACACGGACTTTTTCATAACAGTCCGTTCCAATGGAACGAAGTTTGGGGGGGGGTTGCGGGATGTGTATTGTTCATATTCACATCGCCCGTTTGAACAGTCGTTCTCCTGTCCTGGCGTGGTTATTCTGGTGAATCCGCGCCAAGGGGCGGGGGAAGCACTGGACTCGAGTTTCGCTCTTATTAGAGCCCATCAACAGTGCACATATCCTTGGCTGTACCGGTCTCCGTTCGAACTCTGGACATGCGAGACCCAGTGTTGCCACTACTCTCCACCAGCACACGTTGGACGCATGTGAATGTTCGCGTCTGAGCGGGTGAACGTCTTCACGCTTGAGCGATGTTGTGCCCGACTCATCATCGATACGACGATCCGGTAACCGTCCTGGTTGTGACGATCGATCGGCCCGCCCGTTCAGAGGTGAAAATTCAGATGCGTTCAACATGCGCTGGTGGTAAGGCGCTCGCCTCGCACGTCCGGAGTTCATACCCCGGCACGGTCATTGGATATGCACTGCCGATGAGCTTTATCTAATAAGAGCGAAACTCGAGTCCAGTGGTTCCTTCCCCTTTGGTGTGGATTCACCAGAATAATCATGCCAGGATAGGAGACCGAGTATTCAGACGAGAGTGATGTGAGTATGAACAATACATACCCACCAAACTCTATAACACGCATCAGGAACGAAGTTTGTGAAAATTTAAGATTCAGTCGTACTTTCGCACCCTGGCGTCGGATCATCAGAATGACTGACACACACACACACACCTTCCGCCTCTCTCCGTCTTGATTACTTAGGTACTCTGTCTGCGGATGAGGAATCTGCGCTGTGTGCGGATTACGTGGAATTCTATCACGATGTCCGGGATGAACTGGAGGCTCGATGGGGTCGTGTGGCTGCTCTGCGCACCTGTCGAAATCGGACTGAACATCTACGTGGCACCGTTTACGTGGAATTCGCCTTGGGATCGGGTGCCACCTGGGACGCGGCCGAAGCATGCGCTGGTCGGTGGTTTGCTGGACGTCAGCTTACGTGCATGGTGGTTAGGTTGGGCGGTGGTTGGCGTGAAGCCATATGTGGTCAGTTCAGTTCCTTGTAACTTTTTTCAATACACCTGCAGGTTGCTTACAGGTTATCCGATCTCAAACTAAATACACATTACGCAGTAAACGGGTTTCTTGACTTCTTATAAATTTTTTTTTACAAATAATGAAGTCCCTTGCCTTATCCACCAATGTGCTTCATTCAGTGAACCAACATCAGTACGTTTCAACTCTCAGGCGAATCAACAGAACTACCCACGCCGTAAGGACATTTCAGAAGTCACCAAAATTTCAACGGAACACCCACTCCTGAAAGGAGTAAGGGGGGTTGTCAATATGAACCTCGCAGTGCTTTTTAAACACCCGAAAAATAATGTCATAATAACGTCAATCTTTTTTGTTTAAAACGGCTTTTTTTGATGGAATATTTTCCCTCAGCGCCAGATATTCTTGCTTCTCTGTGGCAGTGCAGTTTGTGTGGTGGCAGTCAACCGCAGACATTCGTTACGCACTGGCCTTCACCGTGGTTCTAAGCCGCCAGACAGTCTTTCTCGTTTTGTACCGTCACCACAGGTCTACACCACCGCCGGCGTTGTCCAAAAGGCGATTCGAAGTGCAACTTCCTGCACGTTTTCCTGAACCCCGGTGAAACGGTCACTGACTTGCACAAGGCGCTGAAGCTTCAGCTTGGTGAGTTGCCACCTGCCGAACGCGGTCGGGAAAACGCAGAACGGCGACGCCGAAACACTCGGTAAGCCCTGTCTTTCGCAGTCATTATACCATACAAATCGTGAATAGTTTTGGTGCCTGAGACGATGTTCGGAACTGCCTTCAATTTGCACTGGTTGGTTAAATTAGCTCTATAGGATACACTGGCGTTTGATTCCTAGCAAGGGGGAGAGAAGATGGACCAAGTGGTTAGAGCGCGGATTTGCTGACCGGAAGGGCCCGTGGTTCGAATCTGACATCTGCCTCTCGACTTCCACTGTCTAGACTTGGGAAACCTGGCAGTATCCCAGCCCTCGTGCAACCTTTGGGTGGCATGGCAGCTAGACACCGAAGGGGTCCTACGGCTGAACGATTATCAATTATACTTATTTTATTATAACTGCTGCCCCGAAAATCTATGCGTACAATATGAAGAGCCGTCAGTTATGGAAGTCGGTCATATCGACTCACTCCGTGACACCTGTTCTGTTGACCATCAATTACGATTTAGTTAGTTCTTCAGTTCCTATCTGTTTCTGCTCGCCTGTCTGACAAATATTGTGGAATGTGGCCGTTAACGCATGCAAGCAACCAGTCCGGGAGTCAGGCAAATGCGGTGTCCGGGTACCTCTGAACAGACTCTGTAGCCCACCAGCCGAAGATAGGGCTTCTCCCATTAGACCCTCCTCACTCGTCTTGTCATTTCAAACGGCACTAAGTTTTCTCCATACGCCTGGTTCATCCACGTTTTTCATCCTCGGTTGTTTTCCGAGATACGTTGCGTTGAATTTTTGAATTTAGCTTCCGTTTTTCATTCTCGTTGCAGTGGATCTCCATTCTCTAGCAGCCGAAGATCTGCCTATCGGTGGAGAAGCCGTTCTCGTTCACCTCGTCGTCGTCACCGCACATCAGATCACCATCGCCGACGTTCTTCCAGATCAAATTCTACCGACCGCTCCTGTAGCCGAAGCTCTAGTCGTTCCAGAAATGACCAGGGACGTCGCTTTCATCGGAGCCGGTCTCCATCGAACCGTTCTCGTTCGAGTGGAAAAGAACACAAGAAACAAAAAAGACGCCGCAAGCTGCATAGCAACCGACGACGTCCATCGCCCTCCACACATGTATCTCCCTCATCCCATTCAAATAGATCCCCTGTGTAATATTTCCTTCTTCCAGTTGGTCTTTATCCAACCATGTAAATAAAGTCTATTCTCTGCATCTTGTTTTACCTATTTATGACTGATCGTATGATGAAAGTAAGCTCACCCCCAAGCAGACGTGCTTAATCTTTTTTTGCCTCAGTTGTGTTCGACAGTTTCTAATTGGATCCTTATGGGGGGCATTTTCCACCGGCTTGAGATAGTTTGGTAGGTAGGATATCATCTCGGTAGGGATGTTTTCCGAACTATAACCCAATTGTCCTATCTGTGCATGTGCGACCTTGCGGTATCTCAGTAGCGACCCTCGGGTTGCCAAAGGATAACCCTGACTATGCACCACAATGTGGTGGATGTGGAACAACATACTGCTCAAAAAAAATCGTTCAGCTGTAACACCCTTCCAGTGCCTACCTAGGGTGCCACGACGACTGGGATACTGCCAGGTTGCCCAAGTTTAGACAGTGGAAGTCGAGAGGCAGAGATGTGGCTCGAACCACGAACCTTCCGGTCAGTAGATTCGCGCTCTAGCCACTTGAGCCATCTGGCCACCACAATACTCGGAATTTTATTCAAACTAGACTGCATCTTCTAACAGGACTTTGTAGGAGCAATGTTTTGTAGCTTGCCGAGTATCCAAATTTTTACATAACACTGAGTGAGAACGGCAATCGTAAGCGTCTGTTTCGGATTATTTTGGCTCTCTGTCTATGTGATGAGAGGTTCGGGATGGAGAAGTAACCAGACCGATGTGCTGATTTGGAACGCACTCATTCCTAGATCGTGTATCGATTACATCTGGTCACGCAGTATTTTGTTGGTCATCCAACTTTCTAACAATACACCAATACAACCTTGTGACTGTTCACGCCGAGTGTGAAAGATGGAATGTTCATGAGCCATGTTCTTCATGTAGCTATCGGTCGGCACAGCATGCTGATGTTGGTTCGATTTGAGTTTTGTACGGTTTATTACCTCCAGTATTCAAAAGAGAGCAAACATGGGTTTACCAGAATAGAGTGAACAAAGGATGATAAAAAATTCGACATGACCAAGGGCAGTTTCACGAGTGGTAATTCTGTCGAATTCGGTCACAAGACCTACTCTGTTAGTTTCAACCATGAATCAGGTGGCCACCAGCTGTTGTTAGAGAAAATCACCGAGACTGCCGGTTTGCTTCTGCAGAACCCGTTCCTGCAGTAAATGAAGACGAGTAAAGCGATCCTGCTCCGTCGGTGTTGAGTCTACGAAAAACTGCAGTCAATGGGTTAGGGTTTACCCCAAATCAATAAATACAGGGTGAGCGAACGTTTGATCTAGAGTGGATGAGGCATCGAGGTTTTTGAAGGCAAATTCACGGTGCTATTTTTGTAGCTGCCGAAAAGGTTATCTCCAAGAGACGGAAATACTGGTATTCATTTTAGTCTCACCTTAGCACTATCTCAGTTTGCAAACCAGTGTTCGACTCTTTTTCATGAAGGAAACTACTCACAATGTTACTGTAAACTCTCCAACAACCCACGACCGGTTTCGCCCTTCCACTTTGGGCTCATCAGGTAGGCGCACTCCCCGAGTTTCCGTCAAACTTACGTTCTACTTGAACCCAAATCGGACTGTTTTCGACAGATACACTCATTTGCAAATCAATTTGGTTTTCACGAGAGACTCAACTGAATCTCTCGTTTATGATATTCTTCACCTGAATGTACTGCACAAAGGCCGCCTCAAGAAGGGCGAAACCAGTCGTGGGCTGTCGAAGAGTTTTCAGCAACCTTGCGAGTAGTTTCCTTCATGAAAATATACTGCGATATCTCGAATATCGTGCCAACTGAATCATGAGGCGCCCTGTGTGCAGCACATTCAGTTGTAGAATATCATAGTCGAGAGATTCAGTTGAGTCTCTCTTGAAAACCAAGTTGATTTGCAAATGAGTGTATCTCTCGAAAAGAGTGTTCAACTCTGTATTTCTCGAAAAGTGCTCATCTCCTTTAGGTTCCACTACTGTTCACGTAGGATATATGGTTGATAAAGAATGGGAGACTGCGGCTAACCAGTGATACTTACTTTTTTGAAACCGTCGACAGATTTTCGGAGAGCTTTCAGTAGACATTTAAGCGACGTAATGCTATGGAATAATTACTGGAGCTCATATGGGTAACTCCAACAGTAATGCTCATGGGCCAGTTGGAAGACGTGAATCTAACATTTGTTTGTAGCTATGCGTACCTGACGCAAAGGCGTTTTGTGTTTCGTCAACTTTCATGATTAAATCGATAACCCCACAGACCAGATCCTGACCATATTGGAAATACGTGCTATCCTGGCAAGACTGGTGTAGGTTACCGACCCTGTGGTCGACAAATCGGGCCGATGCCCTGCAAGTCGCGTTGGAGTTGTTCGGTGCAACATGATTGATTCGGGCAAGTTTCATGCTGATGATCCACCTAGACCGTTGGATTTTTATCAAACAGACGCCTCCCTGTTGTGCGCAGACGATTCCGTGGTATTTTTTTCCTACTGCTCCATCGTTCTTCTAATTAAGGGCGCCTTTTCTTCTCTCTCTCTTCAGGTATGCGGACACTGTTTTGTACGATAAATTCAAGTTTCTCTGGGATTGTATAGTCTGTTCCCAAATTCACATGAGTGTTTCATGGAATTGATCTCATCAGTCTCGTTTAAGCTGTGCGCCGAGGAAGTCAAAATACTTTTATTGTTTGATCATCGGTGTCTTCGATGCATTGCCCGAGTCTGGTACGAACGCCGGATAAGCAATGCTGAAGTACGTTGAACGGCATTCGGAAGAGATAACTCACCCTCGATTGATGAGATGGCCAAGTGATTAGAGCGAGAATTTACTGAACGGAAGGTCTGTGGTTCGAATCCGACCTCCGCCACTCGACTTCCCCTGTCTAGGCTTGGGCAACCTGGCAGTATCCCAGCCCTCGGTGCAACCTTTGGGTGGCATGGTAGCTAGGCACCGAAAGGGTGCCACAGCTGAACGCTTTCTTTTCTGAAAACCAAGTTGATTTGCAAATGAGTGTATCTCTCGAAAAGAGTGTTCAACTCTGTATTTCTCGAAAAGTGCTCATCTCCTTTAGGTTCCACTACTGTTCACGTAGGATATATGGTTGATAAAGAATGGGAGACTGCGGCTAACCAGTGATACTTACTTTTTTGAAACCGTCGATAGATTTTCGGAGAGCTTTCAGTAGACATTTAAGCGACGTAATGCTATGGAATAATTACTGGAGCTCATATGGGTAACTCCAACGGTAATGCTCATGGGCCAGTTGGAAGACGTGAATCTAACATTTGTTTGTAGCTATGCGTACCTGACGCAAAGGCGTTTTGTGTTTCGTCAACTTTCATGATTAAATCGATAACCCCACAGACCAGATCCTGACCATATTGGAAATACGTGCTATCCTGGCAAGACTGGTGTAGGTTACCGACCCTGTGGTCGACAAATCGGGCCGATGCCCTGCAAGTCGCGTTGGAGTTGTTCGGTGCAACATGATTGATTCGGGCAAGTTTCATGCTGATGATCCACCTAGACCGTTGGATTTTTATCAAACAGACGCCTCCCTGTTGTGCGTAGACGATTCCGTGGTATTTTTTTCCTACTGCTCCATCGTTCTTCTAATTAAGGGCGCCTTTTCTTCTCTCTCTCTTCAGGTATGCGGACACTGTTTTGTACGATAAATTCAAGTTTCTCTGGGATTGTATAGTCTGTTCCCAAATTCGTATGAGTCTTTCATGGAATTGATCTCATCAGTCTCGTTTAAGCTGTGCGCCGAGGAAGTCAAAATACTTTTATTGTTTGATCATCGGTGTCTTCGATGCATTGCCCGAGTCTGGTACGAACGCCGGATAAGCAATGCTGAAGTACGTTGAACGGCATTCGGAAGAGATAACTCACCCTCGATTGATGAGATGGCCAAGTGATTAGAGCGAGAATTTACTGAACGGAAGGTCTGTGGTTCGAATCCGACCTCCGCCACTCGACTTCCCCTGTCTAGGCTTGGGCAACCTGGCAGTATCCCAGCCCTCGGTGCAACCTTTGGGTGGCATGGTAGCTAGGCACCGAAAGGGTGCCACAGCTGAACGCTTTCTTTTCTTTCTTTCCGATGAGTTGATCACACTGCATAGTTTGCACTGGCCTGGCCACGTGCTGCGTATGCCAGTCGACCGACTTTCTCGAAGGGTTCTTTTCGCACAACCACGTAAAGTGTGGAAGAGAGCCAAAGGCGGTCAAAGAATGACAAGGTAGTGAATTGTGAAAGTCATTACGAGCAAACTCAGCTGCGCTGGATGGGGACCCCATGACAGACCACATCAATGGTTGGAGACTTTGTCAGACAGGCCAGTCACACCCTCAATGGCGCGTGCAAGCTATTGCTTTCAATGCATAGCTCCCTTCCCAATTCTCCCTCTTAACAGTCCCCTGACAGTGCTGTACTTAGACACCAGTTCATCAACGGCTACCTACCCTACCTCTCCAAATCATCGGTGAACGAAATCGTGACAGCTATAATCACTGTATGACAAGTATCCGGTTCTTACAACTGACAAAATGAAAATGAAATGAGTCTTGTTTTGGCGCGGTGTTAACTGAATAGACTTACTGCGTCAGCACAGGAAGAGGTCTGTTCCATTGCGAGTTATGTGGACACAGTTTCTACAATTCCCGCTTAACCTTGCATGCTATCAGGCATTGGTCTATCCGATGCAGCAACGGGAGTACTACCGGCCATAAGCAAAAAGCGGTATGTTGCACGTATCAGGCCTTTCCCTATTGGGTGGATCATGCATTATGTCGTTGATAATGATACTGCACAGGAAGGCTTCTCTGCAGGCGGTTTTTGTGTGTGTTGGAGTTCCCGTGGATGGAACCAACAGTGCTGATTTATCACAAAGTCTGTCTTGACAATTAAAGAAACACTTCATCTACCGAATCCGGTTCAAACCGAAGGCAGATTTCATCGCACCGATCAGACATGGAATGTTATTCACCGATGATCAAAACAGTCAGGATTGTTTTTGTTTCGTAGACATAACAATGGTAATCAAGGCTACGTGGTGTCGTATATGATGGTGTAATGTCCAACTGTTAGACTAAGTGCTGCTAAATACCAACTGCCAGAGAAACAACCAAGACTAAACTACGAGGGAACTGGGTGTAAGAACAAGCGCCAAAGCCTGACACATGATGTGAGCAAAACAACAAAGTAATCAGTAGTAGCGCGCACTGGACAAGGTCGCCTGCTGACGGCAGACAGACGTCAACAAAGAGGAGTGCGCTTAACCGACTGCTACACTAGGTCACAGAGCATTTTACCGGTTTTTGTAACGCGTATCTGTACTGTCATTCCGGGATCTCTCTCAGTGCAACTGTCATCGAGCGTGGGCAGACACCTGGTCAGTTGGTCGCATGAATGTGCCCTGGGTTCGTTGTACGTGTGAGGTGGATCAGCACACCATCTTTAGGTGCACTGTTTGTCCCAACTCTTCCGTTGTCCTCACTTGACTTGACGATATGGCGTGCTGACTGCATCCTCCTATTCGCCTTGCAATCAGGAGTGTCGAGTTAAGTGCACTTGAGGGAGACATGCTCACCGCCGCTGAAGCTTGTCCATCAAGACTTTGGGTTTCATTGCGTATAAATGAGCAATGTATAATGAGAACTAAATGACGCCGCGTGCAATGCTTAAATGCGTCCGCCACGCTTCAGTTTTTCGGGAACCGAAACTGTAACAGATGGGGCCAACTTACCATCGTACATGGCTTATGGCTGATAAGCCAACTAGATTGAACTGCACGTGCGGCCCAGTGTGTGCCACACGTGACCTTCGTCACCCTTCTGTACACGAGGGCCTACCGAGTTCGTTTGGTTTGATTGTTCTATCCGAGAAGGGACGCGAGGACAACACTGATTCACCGCTTCTGCTACCCACTGCCGATGTCACTTCGACTGGTGTCCAACTCAGGGGACCTTTTAGGTACGGCATTTTACCACTACTTTGACGAAGGAAGTAGTCAAAGTAAGTTTAAGTTACCACAGTAGTCCTACCCGAGAACAGCCTTTGCGAGCAACAGTCAATATGGGTGTATTTGTAAGACGCAAATTCTTTGTCAAGCTCAACTTTGAACACTGGTCTGTACAGCAAGAGATGTATGGGAAGGGGGAACGTGAGTGTTTGGCCTTTCGCGGAGAGGCCTCGTCCCTCTTTCAAGTAGTCACATTGGGCCTTGGCTCATGGGAAACTGCACGATCACAACCTCTCCTTCAAAGAGTTTCCATTTGGGCGTTGTAATTTAATCATATATTGAACATTATTGGTCTTGAATACGGGCTGTTACAGTACACCAACCAGAACCGTTGAGACTTCGTTCCTTATTTGTATTTCCATTCTTTTCAGCCAAATTTAATGGAAGATGTCCCAAATTGCACTAGCAACGCGCGTACAGAACCAAAAACCAAGCATCTGGTAGGTATGCAAATCGCGTTCTTGTGTTGGAAGACATATGTTTCTCTAATCTTTATTTTATGGGGTATACAAGGTGTCTGTTCATCTTAGGAATTCCCGATTACGGTGTACATCTCAATATAACTATGCTTATCAGGATAAAATATACTATAGGAGATTCAGGCACCAGTCCCAGGTCAAACTTATCACCTGTCTCGGGGAATTCTACCTTCAAATCTTTGATCTATTCCGGTTCACCACCGCGCTTCCACTTAAAGCGAGGAAATTTTGGCTTTTTGTTGTGCGTTCCGCGTTCAATCCGATGACTCCTAACCTGGTTGTGGTGCTTGCTCTATAAACGGGGGACGCGAATGTTCGTAGTGAACTGATGAGACCCACATTCGAATCAGAGAGGTGATCGTGACATCAGATCCCGAATAGCACGAGGCATTGTTGTCACTTACGAATGCTTTAACCGCATTCTTCTGGCTACGAACGGGCTCCATTGGTAACTGACAGAAGTTCCTTATTTTATTTTCTGCGGACATTCTGTGGTTTTCGTGTATGCAACATCGTCTTTCTTTTCTTCCCCCAGGGTAACGATCAATAAACTGTTGCAGAATTACCAAGTAGTCAACTTGGGACAAGTGAGTGGCTACCATCAGTTATCTTTTTGTCTTGCAACAATAAGTAATAAAGGCACGTGGATGGTTTTGAGGTTGAGTGTGGTACATCAGATTAACGAGGAGTCATAGTGGTGACCTTTTGGCCGGACGTATTGTATCACTGCAGAAGCTAGGCAGCCAGCTTCATTTAGGCTCATTTTTAATCTTCATTTTGCTGACTTCCACAACCATGTAGTTCTAATTGTACGCACGGTGTTTGAGGTGTTGTTCCCTTGCTGTTTGACAGGGTTTTCCAGAATGTCTTCCACCTGCGCACTTGTTGGCTAATCTCAGCGCTCTGGCTTCGCCCAGTGTCAACCCTTTGTTGCATCAGTACACTCGCTCAATGGTAAGTTGTATATTTTTGGCAGGTTTCGTTAGAACCGTTGTTTCATATGAACTTAGCGTCTACTGGATCATAGACTAGCATTTGTCCACTTCTAGGGTTGCCTCGCCACTGGCTGGCGTTTAGCTCGCTGCTGAAGGGTGTAGGGGAGGTCCAGAACATTGGCTGTTTAAACTTTGACAGGAAATTATGCTACTGTTTTCTGCCCCAGTAGTATATAAGTTAGTAATTTTTGGTTTTCATAGCCTTAGTGTTCCGGGCGCCGTTTCAACACCGAAAACTAGGGCACCTCCCCTAACAGGCGTCTTCAACTGTACTCATCTATGGGTGGCATTATGAATCGTTTGGCAATACTATCCACTGCGATGAAAACATGCTGTCAAGCACTCCGCTTTTTTTTCGCAATACGTACATGCATGATCTGTGTGTGAATTCCTGCGGAATTTTCATACCTGGAACATCCCTAGTATGCATTGACCTTTATTTGTATTTTAAAATCGTGGTGGAACGAAATTAATTCAAAAAATCCTCGAAGCCTCGCTACATAGTGGTGGTGTCATCGCGGGTGACATTTCAGCTGTAAGATTATCGCAGTCAGCTACCATCATCAATGTTAGTTGTTGCTCTGGTGGTGGTAGTCGTTGGTTTGTTCGCTGAGCTGAGCAATTTGATTGCAAACGTCTCATCACCAATGATGCCACCTCGATTGGTGATGAAACGTTTGCAATCAAATTGCCCAGCTCAGCGAACAAGCCAACGGCCATCTACGCTACCTGAGCTAACCGACATTTTCTTCTGTAGAAAAGTTGTTGCTGTCTTTTTATCAGTTAACCTCTGTAGGTATTCCAACTATGTAGCTCATAGTCGAGCCAGGCTGCCCCATTATCAGCTGGTTCTACATAGGTGACGAAGCTTTGGATACGTACAAGCCACTGATGTGCATAACTTACTCCTGTGACGTAAATCAGAGACACGGGATCTGATGTCAAAAACCTCGTTAGAAACGCTGTTGACGTGGCTATCAAGAGTAAATTTCGGCCTCCTAGGAACATCCTGGAACTAGCTGCTAGACAACTCGGAAATATGAAGACAACTGGAAAGCATCTTTTCTATTTTATTTTTAGGGTTTCCGAATGAGACGCCGTGATTGGCTTTGGTCTGTGTAATTCCTCTTCCGAGGGTCTCCTTGCGCACAAACGTGAACTAGTCGATTGGTTCATTCCGTATGACCACATTGTTTTCCGGTGAGAGACGCGTTGGACAAAAATGGGTTAGGTCCAAGTGTGGTTGTTTTAATTCAGAAATGAACTCACCTTCAGAAGCATTTTCCCGACTGTTATCCATAAAACATTTTGGGTAGACTGGCACCGAGTCCGTACCCCGTTCACTTCTATTCTTTTCTTCAAGATGAGGCTCCCAAATAATTCTTGGTTGTACGACAGCCAAGCATTTTTGTTGAGCACTGATGTTATGCTGTCGATGGTGATGATGGTCTTGGCAAAGTGCGAGTCATCTTCAACTTTTTGAATGCAGATTTTGGTCGATTCGAGGTTTGTGAAAGCCGTTAGGGGTGTGTCTGCTTACTTGCACCGAAAAGTCATTCGTGGCTTAAAAAACAACGCTGTCGGAAGCGGCTTGCCGCGTCGATTCTCTCAGCCGAACGCTAGCGTAGCTCCCCAACCGTCATTGTTGTATGCTAATGGTAGTTCCACGGCTTACCAACATTAAGAAATTAGCAACGCAATATTGTCGTACGTCATGGTTGTGACGTACCAGCAAGAAAATATGGCACAGTTACCAGTTGATCGATGTCTTCTTTTGCGATAAGGTTCCATCTCGGTTAACTCTTTGGTTGATTGCTCCCACAGGTAAATTGAATCTTTTCGAGAAATACGCTCATTTGCAAATCAATTTGGTTTTCACGACAATATCATAGACGAGAGATCCACTCTCGTGGAAACCAGATTGATTTGCAAATTAGTGTATTTCTCGAAAACAGTCCAATTTGGGTTCAAGTAGAACATAAGGTTGACGGAAACTCGGAGACTGCGCCTATCTGATGAGCCCCAAGAAGGGCGAGACCGGTCGTGGGCTGTCGAAGAGTTTTCAGCAACGAGTAGAGTAGTTTCCCTCATGAAAATAAATCGAACCTTTTTTGTTAGCTGCATCTTTAGGAAGCACCATCACTCCAGGTTCCTTTTGACTTATTTTAATGCCACCTGTGCGTGAGTTTTACAAGGTCAACCTAACACAGGGTCATTCCCGAGTATCTGACTTTGTCCTGCTCGTTTGTCCCTTAACTCGATGTCTCAAGCGCAACACCTTGCTTCTTTTCTCTCATAGGGTCATCCTCGGTTGGTGACAGTGCTCAGCAAATTGTACACACCATTTCTCCGGTGCGATCCGCATCGGTATGCGACCGCAGACGCAGCCCTCCAACGGGATTCTTTTGCGCCCACACGCGAGATTGACCCGATGAATGAAATAATTGTATCGGTTGGAGCTTACGGATCTCTGTACGCAGCCATTTCCTGCCTGATTAACCCCGGTGACGAAGTGATTATCATGGACCCAAGTTTTGATTGCTACACTCCGATGACTGTCGGTGCCGGAGGTATTCCGGTTCATGTTGCGTTGAGGCCAACACCGGTGAGTGGACGTTCGGGAAGCTCTGAATTACCCATGATGTGTGTCAGGGTTTCTAGTCACCTTAGCTGGAAATTGCGGATAAGTCGAGGTGGAAGCTATTGACAATCGAACCTCGACCGAGTTTTCGAGTGCCTTTGTATGAGCCCGGGGATTCCATTCCTCCTACTCACTCATCATCATCGACAGCATGACATCAGTGTTGAACACCGATGCTTGACTGCCGTAACCTACTCACTAGAATGTGCACTACAATTATTCCACAAAAGAGTACCACACAATATGGATAAGTATACTCAGCTGATACAGAGTGACTCAATTCGATCAATTCCAGTTTGTTGGCTTGATCCTCCCCTCGTTCTTCTTAGCCCTTCCAACGAGTTCTTGATAACCGACGTTGTGATACTCCCTGATGTGTTTCTACGTTTCCCTAAAGTATGATATCGAGCGTGTGTCCACCATGGAACACGTGATCTCTAGGTCACGATGGACTTTTACCTATCCATATGCTTCCTTGTGTGAATTAGTCCCACTGACACGGATCATGGCAAATTAGATGGAATTATTACTCCAAAGCAGGTGTAGCGTTCTTGACTTCTGGCGTTTGACCGTTTAGGAGAAGTGCGATACTGAGCAACTGTAGTAACGGTATCTTCCTCAGCTAAGTTCTCGGTCTGAGCCTCCCAAGCTAGCGTTCACGTCAAAGCAACCACCAAACGTGTACAAGGTCTATTAATGCCCAAAGCGAAGTCAAAAACAGTTGTACGGCGCTTCATCTATGTAGGCGGTTATAATATAACCTGGAAGTTCTGACGCGTTCTGGATGCACCATTGGCAACCCGCATTTAGCCAATACCGGGTCATGATTGGCTGTTGGGTCCAGATTCTCGGCCAATCAGACCTCGTCTTGATGCCGGACCGGCAAGCGTCTCGAATTCTTGGCCAGTCTCGTGCGGGCTAGACTTATCGGCCGTAGCCACGCCTGAAGACGTGCGGTATAGCGGGATCCGTGTGGATTCCTGTCTAACAGAAACAGCTGCCGGTTAAGCTTCTTAATTCAATAGTCCTCAGATCTTTTGAAAATTTCGATGTTATCCTCCTCGCTTGGCTGCAATTTGCGTTTACTTGTGCGTTCTTTTGATGGATCATACAACCCACTTTCAGGCGAACAATCGCAGAAGTCAGATTTCTCCTAATGTGCAAATGATATGCTTTTCATAGTGAAGGATTCTGAGGTATTTCATGACTTATCTACTTTGTAAAATTCCGAAAATTCCCATTTATAATAGGAACACAGATGGGTTGACGAACATGTTTTCGGTAAGGTCTTTTCAAGTCATACAATTGCAAAGGTTAAGAGAGCGGTTTTAACACATTTGAATGAGTATGGTGTAAATGGACAGGGGATCGAGTGAGATGACATTGGCTACCTATCAAAGAACCACTAGTTCAGGTCGCCAATAGGATGACTTGAGCTAGTCAGCTCGGGGGGTGTTGTAGTTGTGTGTTCAGCACACGATGCATGTGTGGGGGGAGGTGAGTTGGACCATGGTAAGTACAACACACGAACAAAGCGTTTTTGCCGACAAAGGATCGGGTCGCGATGTCGTATGGCGATAGCTTCAGCCACTGCAATTGTGCGCTGCTGTACTGATCTGGGTTGGTTAGCCGGCGCCTTGTAAACAACGCGGAAACTTTGGCTGGGTATCACGTTGTGTGCAGTGTCGGCTAAATGTTGTACTACGGAACTGGTTATCGTCCTCCTGGTTCCAGAAGCTAGCCAGGGTGGATTGTGTTCCTTCATTCTTTGGCTGAGTTGCCTAGTCGTGCGTCCGATGTATTCCGCTGCACAGCAGCAAGAGAATGAGTAAACTAACATATTTTGGGCGTGGACCGGCACTCTATCCTTGAGATTAAAGGGGCACAAACGATTGCTGGTGAACCAGGTTCGGAGTTTTGCGGCCGGGAAAACTTTGTTCAGACTGGTGGAAAGTCTTCTGTTCAGTAGATCGGCCGGTATATCTCCCTTAAACGGGAGGTTAATGTAAACTGGTTTCCTTCCAGCTGTGGCTGTGATGGTGTTTGCTTCTTCCCTGTTCAAATGTTTTGTAATAAATTTGTCGGGGAATCCATTGTCTCTCAGGACGTTGGTGAGAGTTTGGAATTCTTGTTCCAGTGCATCCTCAGAGCATATTTTCTTCGCTCTGTTAGTTAGGCTGCGGATCAGGTTCCGTTTCTGCTTTAGTGGCACGAAGCTGCTAAAGTTGATGTATTGACCTGACCAAGTAGGTTTCCGGTACACCGATCGTTTCAGTGTACCATCGTGACGTCGTTCAAGGCCAACATCTAGGAAGTGGAAAAAGTTGTCTGTTTCTCCCTCCGAGGTGAATTGAATGGCAGTGTGGGCCTTGTTGAACTCTTGTTGGAGTGACTCCAATTCGTCTTTGTTGTTAACAACGGCGAAGACGTCGTCAACATATCGGCAGTAGTGTTGCATATTCTCAATGTTAGCCTTTAAGGGACCATTTTCAAGTTTACTCATGAAAATGTCGGCTAGCATTGGGCCCAGTGGTGAGCCCATGGCAACGCCGTCAATTTGACGGTAGAGCATGCCATTGAACAGTAGTTGCACATTCAATGTGCATCGCAGGAGGAGTTCACGCAGCTCGTTGACTGGAATAGGTAGCTGAAAATTATTTGCTTCTATGTAGTTACATAGGTGGTTAATCGTTTCAGTTAAGGGGACGTTAGTGAACAGTGAAGTCACGTCCAATGAACACATGAACGAATCTTTCAGTTCTAGGTCCTTTATTGAGTCCACGAATTGAAATGTATCTCGCAAGCTGTATTGACACATTTGTCGCCGTATTGGTTCAAGCATTTTGACGAGCCATTGTGCGATTTGGTGATAGGGCGAGTTTTGCATGTCTAGGATTGGCCTCAGCGGGCAGTTGGGTCTATGGATTTTCGGCAAGCCGTATAGACGAGGCGTTGTTGACCCTGTGGGTTTGACTTTTTCGTAGGTTGTCTTAGAGATGAAACCGTTTGCTTTAAGGCGTTCAGACATGTCACCAGTTGTTGCTCTATTACGAAAGTTTTATCTTTGTCGTTGGCTGTTTGGCTGAACTTGGTTGTGTCATCCAGAATGTCCGTCATTTTTCGTATATAGTCAGTTTTGTTCATCACGACTATTCCGTTACCTTTGTCGGGGCGACTGATGACGAGGTCATCGCAAGCACGTAGCTCCTTCAATGAATCCTTGTGTTTCTTTGTTATCAGGTATTGAGATTTGACTCTATAACAGGTGTATTGATAACAACAATTTACTAAGTCCGACGTGAAATGTTCTAGGTTGGTAGGACTAATTGGAGATAGTTGTCGGAGTTGATCATGGAGACTTTCAAATTGTGTCTCGATAACAACATCGATAACGACATCTCGACCCGATCCTTTGTCGGCAAAAACGCTGTGTTCGTGTATTGTACTTACCATGGTCCAACTCACCTCCCCCCACACATGCACCGTGTGCTGAACACACCACTACACCCTCCGAGCTGACTAGCTCAAGTCATCCTATTGGCGACCTGAGCTAGTGGTTCTTTGATAGGTAGCCAATGTCATCTCACTCGATCCCCTGTCCATTTACACCATACTCATTCAAATATGTTAAATACTTTGTAAAAGTTGTCTGCGAGCAAACCATGCTGGCTTCAGTAAACTCAGACCAAAACAGTAGCCAGTGACATTTGTGAGAAGGAACCGAATTGCGTCTACTCATTTGGTGCTATCATTTACTCATAACTCACCCTCGATAGATGAACTGATCACACTGCATAGGTTGCGCTGGCTTGGCCACGTGCTGCGCATGCCAGTCGACCGACGTCCTCGAAGGGCTCTTTTCATACAACCACGTGAAGGGTGGAAGAGAGCCAAAGGCTGCCAAACATTGCCTTGGCAGCGAAGTATAAAAGCCATTACCTGGCCAGCAAACTCAGCTGCGCTGGTAATTGCCGTCTTCCTGGATGGGGACCCCGGGGCGGGCCACATCACTGGCTAAGGACATTGTCAGACATGGCCCAGTCGCGCCCTCAATGGCGCTCGTGCATCAAAGCTATTGCCTTTAATGCATAGCTCCTTTTCCAACCCCCCTCCCACTTGACAACTCACTGACAATACTGGATTTATGCACCAATTTATCATCTCCCGCCTGTAATGCGCAGCTACCTACCCCCCTCAAATCATCGGTGAACGAAACTGCGGCAGTTAGAACCACTGTGCGACGATTACGTGGTTATTACAGCTGACAATGATGATGATGATGATGATGATGATGATGATGATGATGATGATCATTTACTCATCTTCTCCTCAAAGCACGACTATTGCAGTTTCTGGATCGCGGTACATTCGCACAGGCCCTCGGGTACGCTGCGACAGAGTGCAGTATCGCCCTAGAAGTTCGTCTGATTACGGCAATTCCGTCATGAGTTCGAAAATAGCACGAACGGAATTAGCCTCATTAGACATGTTCTATAGAAGGACGGTAACTTAACAATTACGAATGTTACGCAGTGCGGCGTGATCGTTACACAGAGGAAGTCGTTACATCACGGGTCGTTGATTATAGGGATTGTCATACAGCCCACGGGTTCACTGTCGTGTCTGCCATCCACTGTTGTCCAAAATGTATCGAGCTTTAGATCACCGGTGTCATAACTACCCCACTTTCACATAAGATTGTTCCGCACTGCCTTAGGATGTTGATTTCGCCATAAGCCTCCCATGTGAGAGTTTCGGTGTTCAGTTCGGTTACCTCTTGACTTATTTCCTCTCGTTTTCCCTTCGGATCAAAGGATGCCCGTACCAGTAATGATTGGAAGCTGGATCTGAAGGAATTGGAATCGAAAATCACCAAGAAAACAAAGATGATCATTCTGAATACCCCTCACAATCCCTTGGGTAAGGTAGGTCTGATTTCGTGTCTTTCTCTTTTTCAGTGCAGGTCACTGGTTCGTAAATTGTTTTTTTTACACGAATTAAAAGTGTATCTAAGTTCGTCGTTCAGCTTTAGCACCCTCTCGGTGCCATGCCACCCAAAGGTTGCACGAGGGCTGGGATACTGCCAGGTTACCCAAGCCTAGACAGGGGAAGGCGAGAGGCAGAGGTCGGGTTCGAACCAAGAACCTTCCGGTCAGTAAATCCTCGCTCTAACCACTTGGGCCGTCTCGCCCAAATGATTCGCTTTGAAAGTGGCCTAAGGGCTAACTTACTTGGTTCGTAGTCCTTTGTGAATACCTGATCTTTGTAGTCAGTGGTAGACATAAATTAGTGGTGATCTTTCATGTCCTTAGACTTACTGTTTCTGTGTGATGTACTTTGGCGAATAGGTCTTTATGAACCACGAATCATCCGTCCCATGCGGCAATTGGTGTGTATTGCTTAGTATGTGTGTTACTAATGCCCCTAATTTAGTGGTTCACTTGACTCAACTCGATGCACAAGGAAGAACTTGATGTGCTACACCTCAGCCTACAGCAATTAGACAGAAAGAAACCACCTTGTCGGATGCTTTCTCATGTTCTCCCGCTGACCCTTGCCGATAATACCGACCCGTCCGTCTTCCCCTCTCTTCATTCCTCTCACGATACAGGTGTTCACTGAAGAAGAACTCGAGATGATTGCGGACCTGTGCATCCGACACGATTTGGTATGCGTATCTGACGAAGTATACGAGTGGCTTGTTTTCCCGCCGAATAAACACATCAAAATAGGTAAGCATTTCACATTTAACAGAGGGTTACAACACTGGGTAGCTGTGACCGCATATGAAACGTTTGCCGTCTCCTCTTTTGATTGCCAATGATCCCAAGGATAGCAAATTCGTGCTTTACTGTCCTGTCCGATGCTGTTGGAGAGTGAGTATCATCAAACAGAAGAATCGGCAATTAGGGGTAAAAAGTCCGAAGCCTCCTTGAAGGTCATTTTCCCGAAACTTATTGTAGTAGAAGTAGCTCACCATAACTTAGCGCACACGTTACGATCATGTGATTTTAACAGGTACTCGACAAAAGTCGTTTAGCGGTAGCACCCATTCGGTGTCTAGCTGCCGTGCCAACGGAAGGAGGCACGAGGGCTGGCATATTGCCAGGTTTTCCGAGTTTAGACAGAAGCAGTCGAGATACCGAGGTTTAAAGAAAGGATCAGATTGCAGTGTCAGTCACTAAAATCGCTCCATGAGAAAGGAACCCTTGCGAATCGCAGAGACAATGCTTTTACGTGGAGCTTCTGATACAAGTGGTCGGTAGTCGTAATAGAATTGCCGTTACTTTGGCTCTTAAGGGTGTATTTTATTGGACGGCTTTGGAATAGTTTGGTAACACACCATACTGGACAACCCGGTGGTGGTTATTGTCGATCAGTTGGGTGGCAATCGCACTGATCATGTAGTTTGGTTTATCACAAAGGTTGCAATATGGAATGTGCCCAGAAAGCTTCATCGATGGGCGCCGCGTCGTACACCCCACATAGTCTGCGGAACATGTGCAAACAAAGTAATAAATGAGTCGTGACTGGACACTGTAGCCTTCAAGTTAACGTTGAACATTTGCCAACTCCTGAATGCTTAGTCGTCGCGTGACCAGAGACCATCACCTATCTGAGGGAGTCGAATGTGGTCGTTGGCTTGTTCGCTGAGCTGTGCAATTTGGTTGCAAACGTTTCATCACCAATCGAGGTGACGTCATCAGTGCGTAGTTGTGCGTGGCGGTTGGTTAGTGGTTGTGCGTTCAGTAGTGTTACGTGTGTGTTGATATACGTGCTGGTAGCCGGAGATGACCTTTGACCGCGATTAGTTATTCGGTCGGGCGGTTCCATTGGTTGTCCTTTTATCCCGTGTCCTCATTCGCCGATGCCCACGTGACCTTTGAA